AAGGCTGCAGGTGATCTGGTCCATTATTCCTGAAGGTGAACTGAATTTGAACCAGTGAATCTATTGAAAAGGAGAGGATAAAAGTGACAGTGAGTGCACCGAGCAGGGTTCTATGGTTAGAAATGGGAGACGTATAAATGAATCAATATAAAACAGGCATTGGCAAGAGAATACTGAATCTGAAGAGCAGCTGGGACGACTAGAGCTGAAAAAATTGTCAGAAACATAATCAGCAACTAGTTTGAAAAGGAAATTAAGCATTTAAGTCAATTTTCAAGCAAGATTACCAGACAAATCCGAGTTACAACCTCTTAAATGGGACGGTTTGCAGATTATCTGTGTCCTTTATACTGATAAACTCTATTATAATGGTTGTTTTCAGCTTTGGGAAACACCACAGCCTTTGTTTCATGTCCTATGACCATTTTATTTTTATCATAAGGTGCCAATTTCAACAATAATTGCACTTTCCCACCACATAAACAGCCCTTTTTAATAAAACCATCCTCTTTCCAGCAGTGAAATTGCTCTTTAAGACCAAAACATAAAAAAAAATACATGACTGACTTCTTTTATGGGCCTAAACCTTAAGGGGATTCCCCGCTTTGTACAGAGTGTGCAGTGACGTGCGTGTTATTTTGTCTGTCGTGGATTATCTCGAGATCATTTCCAGCTTTGAACCAACCAGTGACATGACAGGTTCGTGCTGTGTTCAGTGTCAGCCAGTGCTGGGGAGTTTTTTTTACCACCTCAGATATTAAACAGGGTCATCCTTGGCTGCATTTTATTGATTTTAGATACTTCATCCCCGGTCACTTTGCACAGGGTGTTATTACACTGTGATCGTGTGTTCCTGATACTAATGAGCCGTGTTAGTCAGCAGCCTGCAGCACATTAATACATGTTCTGTTTAAATCAGGCCACAGCTGAGGTCGCCTTTCACACAACGTTCTATTTATTTGTCAAAATCATATTAGATCGAATCCCTTATAGACTGCACTGAAGGGGAGGAAAACAACTCTAAAAAAAATTAAATCTGTTTTTAACCAGTGCAGGGACAGACATTGCAGTCCCATCTGAGGGAGGGCATCTGTATGGAAGTGTGGCTCACAATGTGCTGTCTTCCTCACCGCCCACCTACCAACATCTCTGTATTTTCCCCCCCCGTGGTGATGAGATATCCTGTGGAGAGGCCGAGCAGCATTGCTCATTCTCACCTCTGAAGGGAGCTGCCGGTGTAGCGGAGCAGCCTGGCACGCTGCCCTCTGCCCGGGTCGGTCTCCACCAACACACACACAACATTTGCATAAATGGAGACAAATTGTTGTTCTTGTTGTTGGAAAAGTGGCTATATTACTGCTGCAGCTGTAGAGAGAATAATGAGGGGAGAGTTGTTTACTCACTACTATGAAGGTGGAACAGTTATTCTCACTGTAAAGGTTTCAGCCCCAAACACATTAAATTCATTTTATCTGATATTCATTATTACTGCTCTGAAAAATTTGTTGCAGGTTGTTCTGCTTATAAAAAATATCACTATTTGTAAGCTGAGGATTACGTGACTCACAACATAATGCGCTCTACTTTAACACAAGCTCTGTAGGTTTTTTTTTTAAATTAAACTCTTGAAATGTGATTCACCTCTTTAATAGCAGAGGGATTGCAGAAGTTATCATTGTGCAAATCCATATTTGGCACAGGTTGGGATTATCATGGCTGTATGGTGTCATCTGTGATGGGAACAATGTAGTTTAAAATGACTCTTTCCATGCAGGCTTTTTGAAAAATCTAAAACAACGCTTCTTTTCAATACTGTTTGTGGAAAGAAAACACATTTAATTTGCATAAATATGTTTCAATAGCATAAATAATTCAGTTCTGGGCATGCAAATAGAGACAGCTTTGATTTATTATTCTGCATGTATTGTATAAACTAGAGGAAAACTTTGAGTTCTCAGTATGTAACCTTTTAGTCTCTTCACACTTTTCTGCAGCTCTTCTTGCCTTCAGAATGTGTGTCGAGGCCCAGTTGGTGAAACACTGATTGTCGCCACTTTTGCCGTACAGTGTTCAAAAATAAAATTTCTCCTGGCTGAAGAAAGCAAATAGAGGACGGGGGGGGGGGGGGCNNGGGGGGGGGTGGGAGAAGTAAGAATTATGCTGCAGAGCTTCCTTCACTTCACTTATAAAGTAGAGCCGCTGCGATCAGTCGAATTCATCAGCAACTATTTTTATTTTATCATTTAAATCTTTTCAGACATTTTTTTTAGCAACAGGATGCTAAAATGAACAAGTTTCAGCTTCAAACAAGTTAAAATAGTTGCCTTTTCTTGTCTCAACAGAGTATTAAACTGAATATCTTTGGGTTCTGGGCTGTTTCTCAAACAAAACCAAGCATTTGATGACATTATCTTGGTCTTGAAAACTGTGATGGGCTTTTATCACAGTTTTCTTACCTTTTATACACCAAATGACTAAATTATATGAGAATAATAATAATAATCATCAGATGAATTATATACAGTATGAGTATGCGTCTCTACACCATCTGCAATACTGTGCACGCTCTTACTAAAGACAGCCTTGAAATTAGGTGTAGTATTGGAAAGCATCATCTTACATGGAGAGCCATTACTCTGACTTGTGGAGTGAGACAGCTTTTGTCTGGTTCTTTGCCTCGGGATCCTTCTGAGCTCAGCTAGAAGTCTGTGCCATTGATACTTTTAAATGCAATGAAAGATTCACCTGAACGTTTGAGAAAGGCTGGAACGCATCACTGAAGATGAACATGCACAGCGTGGGCTGTCTTTAAATTTCAATACCACATTAATAATGCATGAAACAATAAATACTGCGCCGTGCAGAACAAGCAAGTACTCCTCACCAAACACTCGCTCCGGCCTACACTGTTTGACCAAATTATTCTGCCTCAACATGGCAACCGCTGCAATTTGTCTCGCTGTAATGACATAATGCACTTATTAAGAGGAGGTGTGTTGCTTGTGCAGCTGCGATCACTGTGCCATTATCATCCAATCGACCCATACATTGCCTTCATATTGTTCCATAGGGGCTGCACTGCTCCCTCTCATGAAGGGAATATCATATTACAGAGCTATGAGCTGACCCCCACCCACTTGTCTGTCAGCCTCCTATGATTTGATCATGCACTGCTCTGTGTGTAACATTATATCCTGTTATGTGCAATGCATTATGCTTGTTGGGGGAGAATATGGAGGACTAGAGGTTTGTGTAAGAAAAGAGAGATGGGGGTCCTTTTAAATAGAGAGAATCAGAGAAGGGAAAACTTAAGTTGAGTTTTTACAAATGCAGAAGTGCGTTTGCGGTGAGTGGGATTGTGTGGCTGAACAGTCAACAGAACATACAGGCGAGCGAGAGTCACAGCCAGACCGGATTTTGTGTGTTCAGGCTGAGGATGAGTTAAATCTTTCGCCAGGCCCGTTGTGCTGTTGTGGTTCTGTGTGGGAGGAGAGGCGAGCGAGAGTTAGAGAGCGAGCAGCTGTAGCTATGGTGAGTACGGGGCGGCTGGCTCGAAGGATGTTATAGAAGTGTGGAGGGGGGATTATTTGTCGGTGGTGGTGGTGTCGGGGGAGTGTGGTGGGGGAGGTGGGGGTCCTTCAAGAATGCCCTTCTCTCTCACCCCGGCACCCACTCCGCCCCCCCCCCCTCCCCTCCCCGCCTCACCCTCCCTCCACCGCCTTCACTCACTCAGTGACTCACTCTCTTATTTCTCAGTCTCTGTCTTTTTCTGTCCCTCTCACTCACTCTGTTTCTCTTTTTTTTTTGGTCACCCACTCACGACTCACTTTAGATTCACTGGGAAAAAAAAAAAGAAAAGAGAAAGAAAACAGGGGACAGGAGTGAGTCGCAGCATGATCTCACAGAGGAAGCGAGGAGATAAGCCCAAGACAAGTCAAAGTCTGTAACTCTTTCTCTCACTTCTTTTCCTTCCTTCCCTCCTTTCTCCTCAGTCCATCCCCCCCTCTTCCCTTCTGCTCCGGCTGCTCTTTGTTACGTCATCTGTCTTCTCCCATTATCTTCTGAACCCCCCCCCTTCTGTCGTCCCGGCACTGAGTCACTACCTGTATTGTTTCCTCAGTAACAAGAGGATTGATCAGTGCCACTCACAGTGTCTCTGTTGTCTGGGCTCAATCAGTCTAAGGCAGGGGCTCCTTTTGGCTGCTCTCCTGGAGGGGTGGGTAGGGGATTTAAAGGGTAATTGGAGGAGGGGGGTTACTCTACCAAGCCCTTACTAATCTAGGAAATGTAGGCACTTTGCTAACTTGACGGGGCGTTTGTAATTGTTGTCGGTGTGTGCAGGGCCTCATTCCTGGCTGTTCCGGTAAGCGGTGTGATGTCATCGGAGCGTTTTTCTGGTAAAGGATATTATGGACGTACAAGCCCACAGGTCTTTTCACACGGCTCTAACTGTGTCTCTACACTGACAAAGACATGAAGTACCAAGGAGTTGTGTGTTTATAGCAGTGGTGGAAAGTAATTAAATAAGTTTATCCAAGTGCTGTATAGCCCCATTTTGAGGTACTTTACTGAAGTATTTCCATTTGATGTTACTTTATATATCTTCTCCACCACATTTCAGAGGGATGTGTCATACTTTTTACTCCACTAATCTGGCAACTGTAGTTATAAGATACTTTTCAGATTCTGATTTTCTACATTTAAAAACTAAATGAAATTAAAATTTAAGAATTAAATCAGTGGTTCGCAACCTGTCTGTCTTATGATGCTTTACAATAAAGCAGTGTGTGCTTGGGGCCTCTTGTTGTGTTTCAATTGTTAGTTAGTGACATTTCCCCTGTGAACATAATTTCATTTAAATAACTTGCATCACTATTATCAATCTGATAATGTAATATATAATAATATATCACTCACAGAGGACATTTGTCTGCAGAACAAGTACTTTTAGTACATTTAGCCAGTAATACTTATGTACTTAAAGACTTTGAATTGAATTTGAATATTTTTACATCGTTGTATTGGTACTTTTACTTAAGTAAAAGATCTCACTCAATACATGACATGCAAAGCAATAAAATGGAGAATCCTTCTGTTTTACAGAGTGAAACACAGTACATTGTTTCGAACATTATGCAGTATGTGTTGATTTCTGACTTTGGAAACAGCAGTTTGACCAAAGATATCACGCTAAGGTTTCTTTTTCTTGGTGTCCTGAGCAGAAGGAATTGCTCAGTTGTTGTCATGGTGATGGTTTAGCTTGTCATCACGTAACTTAAGTATGTAATTTTGGTTACAATATAAGAGGTAGTTGTATAGGGGGGGAAGGTAACCACTGCCAATGTTCAAAGATGGTCTCCTCAGTCTTTCTCCGGCCATACACTCACTCCTGGTGTATGGCTTTAAAGACTTTTATATGGGGTTTTTGCATATGATTTCCATTAGAAAGTATATTTTTGGTTATGATTATAATGATTTAATATTGTCTGGCACTACCTCCATCGATATTGAGGAGGTACATTACCCACAATACTGGCTACCTTGATCATCTGCTGTCAATAATGGCACTCTTAGAAAGACTGTAGAATATGACTGGAGACAAAACACTCAAAACTAGATAATAATTCAATATTATCCTTTATTAATCCTAGTGTGATGATATGATCATATGTGTAATGATGTAATTTCTCATATGAGAAAACTGTCAAACAGTGGAACATAATTTGTTGCAGTGAACATACATTTGAATATTTAATATGTGATTTTGCATAGGTTGGCCATGTTGTGATAGATACTGGAAAATAATGTCACCTAATCCAACTCTTGATTTTATATTAAATAGTTGATCGGGAGATGAACAAATCTGTTGAATGTGCATGTAGTCAAAGTCACAGCATTTAAATATTTTGGTCAAAGATACTGTAATATTTGATTTTATCAATATTGCTCAAGTCTAACTTGTCACATGTTTGTTTTTTCTTAGGCTCTGTCTCCCTCAGACGCAGTGGTATTGCCTTGTCAGAGCAGCCCAGAGGACTGTGGCAGTAATTCAGTGGATGGGACGGTCCACTCCTCATCTGGCAGGGGGAGTAATTCACGCTGGTCTACTCTGTCCTGGGACGCCCCGTCTGACCTGCTCTCGCCACCAACACCGGACCCCAGTGGTACGGTCCACGTGGACTGTGACTCCAGACCTAGTTCAGGTAAACACAAACACACACCTAAGCGCTTGTGTGCAGTGGTCAACAGTATGTGTTCCATTGCACTATCCTGGACAATGACCAACACAGTTGGACACCATCTGATATAAGTACAGCTCACCTTGTGTAAGAGAAGTCCCATTAAACATTAACCACACTCTTTTTTCTTCTGTTTGCTTGCACTGTGTGACTAGGCACTGACTCTCTGACTTCTCTCTCACAGTCAACTTTTCAGCCTTTGTTGCCTAACTCTTATCCACTCTCATTGTAACTGTGGTCTCTGTGTCTCTACACCCAACTCAGACATTCCTCTCCCTGCTATGCACTCATGCACGCCTTTATTTTATACATGTCTTTACTTTCCTGTAGAAGAATCTGAAATCTGAATCTGAATTAAAACCTAAAAAAGATGCAAGGAGTTATTTTAGATTTTTAAGTTTGAAGTTGGTTTCATTGCTTAATATTTTATTCTTCTTTAAATTTTAATTATGTTTTTTTCAAATAGTGGAGCTACTGTATGTGTCTTTAGATTGCAGTACCATCATCTTACTGTCAAACTTTAACCTTGTCACCATACTGGATCCATCCCAATTGTGACACCTTTCTCCTGGAATTTATGTTAATGGAGTTTGAGTTTCTGTAGGTGATGTCTTTGTTTACCTAGTTTTTACTGACCTAACTAACTACCAGTTCCTCCTTATATGGATACAAACTACACTAACACTGGAAAACATGACATCCTTCATCATGTACTCTTTGTACATGGAACAGCAAGCAACACAAAGTGGCAACAGTGTGGCATGCATGTGTATAAAATTGTTGAATGTGGTGTGATGTTTTTTACATAACGAGCAGTGACATATTGTGAGCAGTCCACAAAGGAATAAAAAGAAAAGCAACGAGTCGGCAACAACACAAAACAGGAGTAGGAATAAGAACAATCCCTACTCTAGAGAATTGATAATAACACATATAATAATATAATGGGTAATATATTACAGCAAAACCAGAGAGGTCAGGACTCAGGTCCGATATCATTAGTGCCTCTGAGTATTATTAAAAAATATTAAAAAATAACATTAGAGGCATATACATAGTGAACTTCTTTCCCTCTCTCTTCAAGGTTTCTATTCAGTGAGCGGGAGCTCTCTGTCGGACTCTTGCTACTCTGTGTCCAGTGATGTTGCTCAGGGAGGATCAGGGCCACCAGTCAGAGCCCTGAAGCTGTGGGAGCAGGTTCCTCCGTCTGCTGACAACACTGACATCCTGTGGTCAGAAGGTGCAGTGCAGCAGCAACAGCAACAACAGCAGCAACAGCAACAACAGCAGCAACAGCAACATCAGCGTGCACTGCAGAGCAGCCAGGAAGATGCTGAACTAACAGAAGGGACACCAGTTTCAGGTGAGCTGGCTCAGACAGTACTTAATCCCTCCATGTCAATATGAATTTGCATCTGAAATTGGTTCAAAGCACTGCTCTGGCTATAAACAGCAGTGGAGATGAATAAATAAATATTTATGGAATGATAATATAATCTAATCTATTTTTTTTATCTCTTACAGTCCAAAGTGACCTTGAAGCGACTGGTCTGAGTTTTCTGTCTGACCTCTGCTCAGGACTGGGTGACTCCCTGATTTTTTCCCTCCTCCCACTTTTTGACTCCACCTCTTGTTCCTCCGCCTCCTCCCTCCATCCAAAACCCCAGCTGGACCCTCGCTACTGCACAGACCTGGTGTCCCGTCGGACCAAAGAGGTGTACCCCTACCCCAGCCCGCTGCACGCGGTCGCCCTCCAGAGCCCCCTCTTCACCTCCCCGAGCCAGGAGCAATCAGCATCTCCGAGCCCTGAAGGACCCCAACTAGATGAACCGCAAGAGTCCAATGCTGATCTTACTCTGCCTCTCCAGACGCACCAGCAACCTGCCCTGACTTCCTTCACCCAGCTGGAGCAGTACATCTCTCGACTGGCTCGACAGTACCACGGTCGGGTAACCTCCTCCACCTCCGATCTCACTTCAGCTGCAACCTTTGGTCCAGTCACACACAGAGGCCTTTGTACCCCAGGCAAAAGTCACGGTTCCACCCAGTCCCTTTCTGCCTTTGAGAGCCGCAGTACACTCAGTGTCACTCCCTGCAAGTCACTCCTGGGAAACTCTGCCAGAGTCAGTCTCAGCACTACCGGGAAAAAAGCCACTAGGAATTCAATCAACCTGGGAAACCTTCCTTCAGCGACTGGAGAGGACTTGAACATAAATCTGCATCTCAACCTGAACCTGAACCTGACTCCTGGTTTAAATTCTAGCCGGGGACTGGTGGACAATCCCAAAAATGGCAGTTGTGGAGCTTTGAGGAGCGACTTCGCTCCTGCTTCCACAGCCTCTGCTACATCCCTCTCCTCTGCTGCGCCCACCCCAGCACTTAGAACTCGCCCTCGCATTTCAACATGTCCCAGCAGCCTGAGCCACCGCAGTTCCCTGGAGGTCACCTCAGGGCCTGGACCCAGTTCTGGATTTGGTTCATCTGCCTTCTGTCGCTCTTTAGACTGGAGCAGTGGTCCTCCAACTGAGACTGGACCATCAGTGGTTGGTTCAAGCTCTGGATCAGCTCCTGGGTCTCAGCGCAGCAGCCTGATCCAAGAGTCCAGCTCCAGTCCCAAAATAAGCGAAGACTCCCCAATGGTGGGGGAGATCTCTCGTCTCTCTGGCCTCTCTAAGGCTGTTGTGGTCGGACTTATGGAACAAGGTGTGGAGCTGGACATTGACTGTTTCCAAACAGATACTGCAGGTGAGGTGAGGGGTCACAGTAAAACTCACTTGACAGCCCAGCCTGATCAGTCACATGACTATACTAGACTGACTGACCTGAATCCCCAGAGACCAATACAGCTGTCTCTAAGTGTCACCCATTCTCCACAGTCTCAGTGCAGCCTTACCCCTCCTCTCTCACACTCCAGCAGCCCCATACACCCTTATCAGTCCATCCATATTCCATCTCCGCACTACTCCTCACACTGCCACTACCAGCAGATCCCTTCCCCATCCGACCTTCCCTCTTCCACGGCCTCCTCCCCTGCCTCCCGGCCCAACCCCCGGGGCCGCTCCCCTCCCCGGCCTCTCCAGCCGTCCCCTCTGGGTGCCACTCCACTCTCTGTTTTTCGACGGGATGCACCCTTCCAGTGCTCTCTGCCTCGCACCAGTTCGAGGAGCTCTCCTTTGGAGCATGGCGGTATCCAACCGAGGGGTGGATCACTTCGCCAAAGTGGGGGAGGAAGTGGGGGTAGCGGTGGGTGGAAGAGGGCGGAAGGGGAGGGGCTTTACAGAGGAAAACATGCCTCACACAAGTTGATCAGGGCAGCCACAGTAAGCAGCTATGCCAAGAGAGAGGACTATAGCTCCGTGTGGAGTGAGGAACAGGAGCAATCAGCAGCCAAGACACCCAGGAAGACCTCCAACAAACTCTGGAGGGGCTTTGAGGGACGCCTCTGGGGCAGAGAGTCTGAAAGCGAGAGGGAGGAGATGGACAGAGCTGAGTATGGCTACGGCTGGAGGAGGAACAGCATTGGAAGCTGGAGGAGGGAGCATCGAAGGTTGAAGGCTTCATCCAGCAGCAATGACAGGAGACCAAAGGTAGAGAACTCCCCCATCTTCTCAAAGAAGAAGGGGAAGGAAGAAGGTGAGAGACGCAGCTCCAGCCTCAAGCTCTCCAGAAGGGCTTTGTTCAGGAGTGAGTCCCAAGGCTTACTGGTGCCTCGTAACCACAGCGAGGAGCCCTCAAAGCGGGCACACTGGGTCTCCTCATTAGACGTGGGTCAAGGTGGCATGTACATCAGCAAACAGGAAGGGGTGAGACTGCTGAGAGCAAAGGAGGAAGACAAACGCCTGTCCTCCACCGCTAGCCTCTTCAACCTCTCTCGTTCTCAAAGCCTGGAAGGCAGCTGCCATTCCCTCTCCCCTCTCTCCTCCCCTTCCTTTTCTCCGTCCCCTCCACCACGGATGCCCCTCCAGCGATCGCGATCCCTGAGGGACTTGGGGAGGAGAGTGTTTGGCTCCATGAGGTCCCTGAGTCTCAAACGGAAGCCATCCAAGAAGTGACACTTGTAATCGAACATCACAGTAAATGCATCTTCCATGTGTTACGTTCAAAACATCACAGATGGTTGGTATTATGGTAAAAGGAAGTGCCATTCGTTTAAATTTCGAGCTTCAAAGATTTGATTGATACACTGGTTTTTATAAGAGGAGATAAAATATATCTGCTGGTCTTTTCATCTGTAGGATGGAAGTTACTTTCAGGCACATGAAGCTTGTAAAACCTTTTATTTTTGGCTTATATCATTCATTCTAGTAATGTTTTTGGAGAAGACTTAGACACTTTGTATATCCCTCCAACAAACTATTAAATGTCTGTCAAATTTCTCCAAACAGGTTCTGCAGCATAATCAGAAAGCTTTGCAGCCAAGTGTTTCCTCACTGACAATGTGTTAATGTATATTGTGCACCCTATAGTACTAAGCTGTGGGATGTAGGATGGCCCACAGACAAATGTCAGTGAAGAAAACAGGTGACAACTTTATTTAAGGGTGAATATTTGCTTTTAGGAGCTGCAACGAACTACAAACCTTTTAAAAACTTTATTAGTGTGGAGTTTTTCATAGTGTGAATGCTCAAAGTATTTGACATTTCAACAGGAAAACTATTCTGGGATCCATTTGTGGCTGAAAAGTATCCTGATTTAAAGATACTGACTATGAACTCAGAATATTGGCTATAAGCAGCTTCATTACATATTGGTTGAATCCTCCTGTAACCATGAGTATGAATGTGTATGTGTACACTCGCCTTCTGCATGCTGCTCTGTGACTTGTTCAGTGATTATAGCTATTGTGAGAATGTGATATTCCTCTTTGTTTATGGGCAATATTGCCTCTGAAGTACAATCATATTGGCCAGATAATGACCAAAACTAAGCAAATACTCTTTAACTTGATATTGTGCTCAGGATTTTCAAATAAATATTGAATGATTAAAATATTGATGAGTTATTTGAGACAAAATGTGGCTTCTCATGGCTTTCTATTAATAAAATAAACTTATGACTATGTGTACTGTGCCTGAAATGCCTACATTATACAATCTGTTACAATGGAATGAGTTTTAAGAAGACGTCTTGAGCTTGAACATTATTTATAAAAAATATTTTATTCGAAAACTCTCAAAATCAACATTCACAGCACTGACCAGACAACTGCAACCATAAAGGCATAATGGGAACTTGGAGTAGTGCATTAAGAGTCTCACTTTAGTTTTCAGCGGATCCAAACTCTTGCTCTTTTTGAGCTTTGTTTCCGTGTTGCTAGGAAACGCATTTTTCTGTCCTCTCCTTTCTATTTTCAGCAGCGACATCTTTTCCGACTGACCACATTCCAGCATTCAGTATGATGTACAGTTCTTACTGTACTATGCTCCCTTCATTAACACCTAAAAGGAGACACAGTAACATAACGAGAGATTGAAGGTGTGTGAACATTCTGCAGTTGGTTTTGTGATCAGATGAGATTGAACAGTCTCTCTCAGGTTGAGGCTTTACTTGGCTGGCTGAGCTGACAGGTTTTAAACTCCCTCGCCAGCTCCGTTGGTTTGGTTAATCTCTTCTCCGGAGCTGCTCTTCAGGTTGGAGGAAAACATGCCTCGGTACATGGCCCTCTCTTTTTGCAACTCCCGATTCAGTTTCTCCTCGGCCCTCTGCAGTTGCTTCCTCACATTGGCATCTGCAACAGAAAAATACGTTTTATTTTGTAAAGGCGTACCTTTTCCTTTATCCCACAGGTGTTCACATATGGAGGAGAAGGCGAGGAGAGAATCTGCAGAATTATGCTAGAGATATTACAGGGGTGTGATGTATGCAGCAGTTCTGAGCCAAATGTCCTTGAGTAAAAATAAACAAGGTGCAAAAAAAGAGAGGGAGAGAACAGAAAATTTTTCTTTCTTTAGTGAACAGAAAATTCATGAATAGACTAGCAAATCAGTCCATGAAGTAAGAATACAGATTGCTATTTGGAGTTTGCCAGCTCTGAATTTGCACAGCCTCAGATATTCAATCTGAAAGACCTTTAATACAGGCTGTGTTAAAAGCTGTATCTCATTCAGAGAAGATATAACATGTTAATTAGTACGTTTTAGTGCCTGTAGCTTTATATTAAACGCACAGATATGAGAGTGGTATTGATGTTCTCATTTGACTCTTGGCAAGAAAGTGAATAAGCGTATTTCCCAAAATATAAAGAATAAATATAGGTCATAAACACATCATCGGTTTGTGGCTCAAAAGCACTAGAACAGTCTGTAAACATTAATTGGAACCAATAGGGACTAAGTAGTAATTTAAGACAAATATGCATCTAAAATGATGTGAAAATATGACAGGCTGTCTACAACAGACACTTTTCAATAATGTTAAATAGTTTCCAATTAAAATCCATGCAGCTGTCTATACAGGTCACGTAATGGTTCATGCTTCACTTCACCTTACTCACACTGCTGTTACCCAAGGCATATTTTCACACCTCAAGTCTATTTCCCTCTCAGGGAATAGTGTAACTACACTGACTGCTGTCAGAACACTGTGGACACAGTGAAGACAAGGCGCCAGACTGCACTGAGAAATGTAAATAAATGACTGTTCGTATGGACAATGGTCTGCTGTGGATTATCCTGATGTGCTGGCTCTCTTTTCTTACCATTAGGCTGCTCTCTGCAGGCCTGGCTGAGATACTGTTTGGCGGTCTGTGCATCTCCCATCTCCAGAGTGGCTACTCCTGCCCTGTACAGTGCTTTGACGTCGCCTGGTCGCCACCGCAGCACCCGCAGGCTGTACTCCCGCACACGAGCATAGTCAACACTCTGTTTCTGCAGCAAACAGGCTGAAAGAGATATATACACTGTCTGTGAATGATACTGTACTCAACTGCCAATGTCCCACATAAGGCACATCAGTGAAAAAAGTCTCCAGTAAAAGGAGTCACCTCTTTGGAGCATCACTGAATTGCAGAGGGGTTTGTTGGTAGATCAAGTTCACATTGAAACAAACTTCATACACAACTAGAGTCTACATGAAACTACTTAACTGACACTCAATAATCATCACCCTGGGATGTATATTTAAGTCTAACCTAGCACTCTTTTCACCCCTGCACTTTGCATGGTTGTGGTGTTTTATCTACCAGCTAAGTTGTTGTAGCAGTCCACTTGTGTGTTTCTCAGTGCAGCCTCCTGTTCAGGTGTGAGGGGAGGTGTCTCAGGTCCAAAACCTTTCACTGACGTCATCACATCAGAGTCGAGGCCCCTGAGGACCAGCAGGGCGCGATGATAACGCCCAATGGCCGAGCGAATGTTCTTCTCCCTGTACAAAGCATTCCCTTCTGTTTTCATTTGTGCCGCTTCCTCTAGCGAAGCCCAAACCGGTTTTGTGGAAGTCTGTCGGTATCCAGAAAAGCCTGGTTCTGCTGCTGCTGCCGCCGCCCCCTCCACGTCCACGCTCTCCTCTCCAGCCTCCATTTCTGCAATAGAGTTAGTCAGCTGTTGAGATTAGTAAGTAAACATAAAGGACTGTGTGAAGAAGCTGCTGGAGTACATACAGGCACTCCACTGATTTAAGATGTCAAAGTCAATGTACTAGTTATAAGGAGTACTACACAGGCTGTGTGAACCGTTATGTATCTTTAGTGGCTTTGTCAAGTCTGAGAAAGAAAACCACTGCACACACATCAGTTGTGTAATGTCAGATTAGGCTTGAAGACTTTTTTATTTATTAATTTTACACAGAAAGCCAGCGCTTCAAAATGAACATTAAAAGCCGTGGGCAAGAGTTCAGAGTTCCCTGTTCAGTGTGTGTTTTCTCTGCCTTTCCCTACTATGGTTCAAGCTAAAAAAGATTTCCTTTGTTTCCTATCCCATCGAGTTCCATTATGGAAATTGTAGACTGCGACTATTTTAGACCAATACTAGACTAAAAGTCAGGATATCTCAACCAATCTGTCTCTTGTAAGTTTCCTATCTTTACGGAGTTGCTATACTAAATTTCTGGGGATCCCCTTTGAACGCTTTGGGTATCAGGCAGATGGAAAAGTACACATTAAATACCACAACTTAGTAACTGTCGTTATAAAAGTGATCCAGAACAATAAAATTAACTCAAATATATTATTTATGTCAAACCTAAAATGAATGTTTGTTCATCAGCGTCTACACTGAAGAAGTCCACAGTGAAGAACAATCCCAATCAGCTCTACAACAAAGACATAACTACACACATTATACATGGAGAAAGTTCACTGGCATCAGCAATTACGCTGCATTTTAGTGACTATTCCCATGTTGCCCTGCTACTTGCAGTGGGCTGTCTCTTACTGTTATCTGAGGGAACTTCTTGGAGACTGAGGTTTACTAACGCTCAAACACCTTCACCAACACTTAACAAACGGAAGCTCTTAGCTACGTGTCTGAGCAGCCACCTCCACTCCACTTAAAGACCTTTTTCGTTTCTCTGCCGCCGCTGCCCACTGTGCTAGCGTTAACTCGCGTGTATCTGTCGCGATGCTGGGACAAGTTAGCTTCTGGGAGGGTGACGTCACTGCCAGCCTGGAACGCTTTGGACGGAATTCGAACGCTTAACGTTCCACGGGAGAACGCTGACGGTTGGTGGCTAACGTCACGGCTAACCGAGCTAGCGGAGTTACCGTGCTAACTTCAGCCTCTCGCACTGTAACCGAGTATACTGTGTCCTGTCCGTTTAATTCAGGACGTCCACACGTTTTTAACGGTTCATTTAACGGTACATTAAAATGGATACATTGCTGTGCATCGTCTCACCTTATCGCGCCACTGAAAAGACAATCAACGCACAGCTACTTGTGTCAGTTGACAATCATGCTGCTGCCGCTGCACAGTCGCTTCTTGTTTTCTTCTGAAGTGGTCAAGACTTCAACTTCATGCGGCGTTACTGCCACAACAAGGCCGAACCGGGAATTACCGGCACAGAAATACCAAGCTGCATTTATTCACTTATTTAGAAAGTACTTTAAATACCTGTTACATCTTCTTTATAGTATTATATTTAGACCTATTTAGCCTATAATTTCTGTAAATTACACTTCCCATTTGTTTTTTTTTCTGTGCATTTATATATATTTCTATACTCCTCCGGTAATATCTGTGCAAAGGCAATATATATATATATATATATATATATTATAATGCTACATACTGTTTGTATTTAATAATGTTTGCCCTAATCTCTGTGCAGTGTTCCATCAACCACATGCGTATGTATTGTTTTGTTTTTCTTTGTCTTTCTCATTATTTTTTCTTTTATGCTTGTGCATTTTATCCATGTCCTCATGTCCCTTGATTTCTGTTGTCATTTTGTAAATGATTTAGTTTTGTATACATTAGTATATAAAACAGTGTTGAACATATCATTCTTATTCTTCTTTTTCTATATTTTTATTTATATTTAATGTGTATTTTATTTATCTATTGTCTTGTGTTGTTTCTTGAGGGAATCATGACACTAGTTAAACATAAAATAACCACCGTATCATGTACCAGCAACAACAGTTAATACATACCCCACTTAAAATTAATACAATTCATTACACCAAAGCACAGTGATGGAATAAGTACACAGATGGTCTCAGTAAAAGTAACAATACAGTACACGACTATACTATAAACTGAAATTAAATTTAAAAAATGACCCATTTCAATCTTTACACTGCATATTTCAGCTTTAAAGATAAGTTATAACTTTGAGAGAACCTTAAGGGAATGTTTCTTGTTCTGGTAAAAGTAGGGAAATGGAGTAAAAAGTACAATATTTCCCTCTGAAATATATAGTAGTAGAAGTATAAAGTAACAGAAAATGGAACTACTGATGTTAATTACCTCAAAATTGCAATTAAGAACAGTACTTAAGTAAATCCAGTTACTGTGACTATCCATCACTACCAAAGCAATAAATTCACTAACACATGTATAAATTATACTAGTTCATAATAATTTTCACTTACATCACGCAGGGAATTCAAATGATTTACTGACGAATATGGCTAAGTTATGACGATTGGGTTTTTAATTCGAACCCCCCCACCCCCCCCAATCTAGATCTATCGAGGATGTTTACCCAAAAACAATTTGTTTCTCTTACTTACTGCCCTATCAGCTCAGCTGTTCATGGTGAAGACTCCTACCACCGCGCTCGATGCCTCTTGTTGCCAGCAGGATGACCTCTGTCGGGCTGCCTGGCTGTTTTTGTGCGCACTGCTTGGACTTCATGGAGGCCCAGATGCGGTGCCCAGCACGCAGGGTTGTAGAAGAAACACCGTCCACCACAGTCCTGGGGACGTTCAGGTTTTTCTTCATCGTGGACTAACTCTACAGACTGATGTGGACTGACTGTTGCTCCTCTCAATGTAAACGATGTTAAAAAAAAAAGCAGGACTGTGTAAGACTGGGGTTAGGAACAAACTTGGGGGAAAAAAAAGACTTGTTTTACTTTCCTTTCACAATGAAGGGTTGTTCTTGTTTTCTTCGCACCTCCTCTCGGCTCGAGTTTCAGGGCTTTAGAAGACTCTTAGCCAATGGCATGTAAGACTTTACAATCAGATCATTTTCAGACATTAGGGGGTGGGCAGCTGGGGTGTGTGTGTGTATTGTGTCGGGTGTTCACCCTGAGATAAAAGAGCTACATAAAACCAGATATTCAGAGGATTTAGGTCAAGAGGTTAGTGTCGGAAGTGCAGATGGGTGAGCTTCGTGCAGATAACGAGTCCAGATCAGTGTTTAGCAAGGATGTTCAGGGTGCAATGGGGTGTTGAATGTCACAAGGTGGTTCAAGGAGCGTATTATATGATTACCTTTAACTCTTTTCTCTATCTACATCCATGGTCCAAGCAAGCAGTGGGATGTTGAGACTTCACTGGAACATCCAAGGAGCGATGATAAAGAACCATGTTGCGCAGCACACTATCAATTTGTTTACCACGAAGCCCCAGGAATGGTGTAAGTGTCCGAGGTGACAAAAGGCGATTACTGCCTCCCTTTATATGCTCACTCTTTTCACATTATGGGGGAGTGTGTGAGGGGGAGTCCATCGATGGATGATTTGAATACACTTGTACATAAGAGACAGATCATTACCTTTGTATGTGCTTTATTTTAGGAAAATGATGTTCGCATTTTGACGCATTTCCTTTTTCAGGATTTCCCGAAAAACGTGGTAATCAAAGCCAAATTTCTATTATTAATTAGGTTACACCACTATCTTTGGTTCGTTAACCAACAGAGTTACTGGTTTTTATCGGTATTCATGTGCATCATTCACTGCATGTAAGAAGTCACTAGATGATTTGGGTGATTGATTCATATTGCATTGTAGAAGAAGAAAGTAAGATGCTTCCTTTTGACTGCCGGGTACAAAGATCTTACTTAGCAACTATTTGGTTACATTTAATAATTTTAAGACATTTTTTAGATTTGTGGGTATTTAACGCCTGGGCAGACATCTGCGATTGTATTAATTACTGCACAGATGTGAAGCTTTTTGGTCTCTCCACGTGCAATTTCAGAAATCACTGCTCTTTACTTAAGTAACAATGTAGCAATACCGACAATGTAAAAACTCAGTGTTTACAAGTAAAGTCTTGCCTTTACGCAAAGTTAATTTAATTAATGGCGATTCTGCGGTTAACTCATGATAAACTCAGTAGTTTGATTATCGAGCACAAGCAGGAGGAAATACTTCATACTAAAACGGCCCAGGTCTGATTCGTGATGTGCACCTTAAACCACACTTATGAGTCGACACTCTTGCTAACACATTAACGACGCTTCTCTACCAAGAAGTGAAAGACCACTGTACTCACATAGTAACTCATTGTCATGCAGAAACATTTTTTGCATCACATTTTGAGACTTACATCAGGATCCGCCCTTCTGCCATCCCAGGATTGCTCACACGTATTATACTTATAAATGACCCTATAAGTTGTATCCACGTGCCCAGTTACCTAAAGTAGAAAGTAAATAGCTGGGACATAGTAAGGGTACAAATATACTTAAGTCACCTATTTAACATGCAGGATTTGCATGATGATTTAATGCATGAATTGCATGCGTGATCATGGATTCAGCTATGACTTTGTGGGTTAACGCTCACACATTTGAATTAGTGCAAGCATGTACTTATTTCCGATTATGTATCCTTGATTATAAAGTGTACTTGTGGCATATGTGTAATTATGATGCATTATTTGTAACAGCTGTTCTTGAAGGTGTGCGGGCGTTGGTTGAGATGGGTTGTTATCTAGACAATTTTAATTTGGTGGACATTAATGTAGGGCCAAACTGTTGTAAAACATCTTCTGTTTATATTCTCATTATAGGATTCTTAATAAGTCGGTTCTCTAAAAAGACTAACATCGGTAACTACAAGTAAACTGGTAGCTGTAATATAAAAGTAAGAGTTAAAAAAGTACAATTTCCTGCTGAGAATGTTTTATGGAGTTAAAGGTTACGTACAATAATGTAAATACTCAGTAACAATTATAAACTCCACAGACTATACATTATACGTTAATACTTATGTAAGTAAAGCACTTTGCTAGTTACGGTCACCTCTTGCTCACTCAGGTTAGTCTTTACTAGTTACAGCTGCCCTCAAGTTAGATGTTGTATTACAGCCAGGCATTGAATGTTGCAAACGTTAGCTGGCTACGATATAACTGTGTCAATATGTGGTGACAGGACCATTTAGCTGGCAGTTAGCTTACTGTATTAACCGTTTTAAAGCAACCAGATGCGTGAATGAATGTTTCTACTCTCTGGGTACCAATCTGCTGTTTGGTGCTGCTCGGGCTGTCTAGGAATAATGCAGACCCTTTCCGCAGGTGCCTCCCCTCCCTCTGCTCTGTCTCCCTTCCCCTCTCTGCCTGTTCCCTCCCTCTGCCTTTCTCATGGTGATTTATAAGGAGTAACTTTTTTGAAGGGTTTGGAAAAATCATCAAATTTGTATCTCGCTAGGGCGTGCCCCAAAATCTTACTAGGTTAGTTCTGAAGGAATGAAAAATGGATGGTATTCGCATTTTAAGTGTAATTTTTTCCTTAGCTGTAACCAATCTTGGTTGTTCTCCAGACAGAAAACAAGCAGCAGAAGCAGACTCCTCCAGCAGGCTGTCTCCATCTCCTCTCCTGCTTCTCCTCCCCTGCTGCCTGTTCCCTCCCCTCTCTGCTCTCCCTTCCGCCTGTCCTTCTCTCTCCTCTGCCTGTTCCCCTCCCCTGCTGCCCTCGTCTCCTCTCCCCTCTGCCTGCTTTATATTGGTGGTTGACTAGATAAGATTTATAGTATATAAGATAAGACGTTTAGCTGAGGGATGAAATATCATGTATATTTCTCCTGCTGCCCATTAAATCATTTGTTTCTGAATTAATAAAAATGATGTGGTATTTGCATTTTAGTGTTTAATTTTCTCTTAGCTGTAACCAATCTTGGTTGTTTCTCGACAGAAAACACAGTTGCCGGGACTGGTGGTATTGAAGGTTAGTTGGCAAAAAATAAAAAGGCCGCACTCCAGCCCAGCTGTGATGTATTATTTTTTTTTTTTTTGTTGTTTGCAAACAGGTTTTCGGGTTACAATTTAGCACTCGTTGTGTTCACTTCCGTCGACAAATATTGGTGTTCTGTGAGTAAAAAGCACAATTTTCTATGATGTGTAGTAGGACGACACATATAAATTAACTAAATGTCACTACACACTTGCACTTTGATGCAAGTGACGAATCCTTCCCCATCCCATTAAGAAAAATAATAAGTTAACAGTTATAGCTCTTAGATTTTCATGCCTGTATTTCCTGTAGTTCCTGGTGGTACTAGTCAAAGAATTCCAGAGGCACTCTAAACAAAGTGTTGTTCATTTTAAACTAAGAAGTCCAGGTGTGAGCGTTGTAGCAGCTAGTAATGTTTGTTTTTAGGTTTTAGGTTTGGATTGTTAGCAGTCATTAATACGCCACTTTTATATATATCTCCACAGACAACCAGTTTATAATTACTGCAAATATTAAATTTGGAATACTTTCATCGATGCTACCAGGCTCGATGACCACTTGCTGTTACCATCATGTTGCCGATCTACGAAGTTTTTGTTAATTTTTTTGGGGTCTGTTTTATTTGCCTTTATGATATTTGACAGTTGAAGAGCCACGACACGGAAAGGGGGGCAGAGAGAGGGATTGACACGCGCAAAGGCCTGCGCGGTCGGATTCTTGACCTGGGCCGCTTTGCAGCAAGACTAAGTCTCGGTACATGGTTTGGCCAGCTCTATATGCTACCACTGAGCTAACCGGCGCCAACGTAACGGAGAAT